TGCTGCAGCGCACCCGAAACGAAGCACATTCGCACTGTGGACAAAGGAGAGAAAGAAACGGAGAGAAGAGAGAGTAGATTGGCGTGAGGTTGGGCAGCTAGTGGTCGCGGCCGGTCTGCTTGCGCGCGTCCTCCTTGAGCTTTTCGATGTTGGAAGGATGTGTGAGCGTGTCCACGGCGAGGTAGACGGCAAAGGCGCCGAGGCCGAGACCGAAACCAGGGAAGATGTTGCGTGCGAAGAAGCGGTGCGAGAAGACGGGATGCTTGCGCCACGCCTCGCGCTTCGCCCAAGGATCACGATACAGCTGCGGCATGTTGAACTGTCATTCAGCCAGCAGTAGGAGGAGGAGGAGGAGTCAGCCTCGAGCCTGAGCCCTCGCATCCCGAGAGTGTGCGTGGACGAGACTTACATTTTGACCGTCGAGTACGAAGGCCGGGATGATAGGATGGAGAGTGGGATAGCAGCGTCAGAGCCGGTTGGAGATCAGGTGTGGAGCGCAACTGACGCTTCACTGCAAGTCTGAAGCGGAGCCGACGAGGAAGGCTAGCTTTTATCGCACGAGAGACTTTCAATTTCATGCCACCGGTCGAGACGCGTTGGAGCGCAAAGACGCATTTGGCAGTGCCGCTCTTCCCTCTCCTGGCCAACTAAATTAGATAGGCATGGAGCCACCCAAAGTGGGCGCTCCGACTGTATCACACGATGCTGCGTCGGATGTGATCCGTCGATGAGCAACCGTGCAGCTCCGAGTGGGATCTCGTCGGCTGTGGCTGTGAGAGTCGAGCCAAAGGGCAGCGGTTCATCCTACAGACGCGCGGCGGCTCGACCGACCAACAACCGCAACTCGGTGGTGGCAGAGTGACGTCGCGCCCAAACCTCCACGCGTCGAAAAAAAAATTGGAAGCTGCACCACTCAGCCCCGAAAGCGGTCGGCTAAGGCGCCTTCTCTACTGAGACCGACACGCTCGTGCCTCGAACATTGGCCTCGTTTCGGCTAGTCCGTCTTGATTCGCGCCTCATCCACACGACGTGCTCAAGCTCAGGCTCGTCTTCTCTCCCTCTCTCTCCTTCCTCGCAACCATCACATCCACAGCCAGCCAGCGCGCCCCTTGAATCGTCACCTTCATACCTCTTCAAATCACACGCCTCAACTCGCCCTCGCCCTCGCACTCGCACTCCGTCACACCGCGGGACTGCCGCTCCCACGCTTCATGAAATCGCACCTCTGAAGCTCTGAAGCTCTGAAGCTGCTGCCGTCCAGCTGCCCTGGCGCAAATCACAACACTTTCTCACCAAGAAGGCCATCCCGAATTCCAACTCGCGCACTTGAACCGACAACCATCGGCACATCCAACACTCACTCCAAATCGCAATGACGAGCCTACACATCAAGGACGAGCCAATGCCCACTCCCATCGCTTCCGGCTCCGGCTCCGGCTCCAGCATCGGCGGCGCGACAAATGGACATGCAAAGCGCCCGGCAAAGCCTAGTCTCCCGGGGCATTCCGATGACAGCTCCGACGACGATGACGACGACAAGCCCCTTGCAAAACGTCCAAAGGTAGAGGAAGAGAGCGACCTCTCCAGCGACTCGGATTCCGACGTCCCGCTCACCTCCACCGTCTCATCCCAGAACGGCGTCAAGAAGGAAGAGGATGACGACAACGACGACGACGACTCGGATGACGATTCGGACGCTCCACTCACAGCCACCGTCAAGAAGAGGAGCGACTCCGGCAGCGCAGACGACGATGACGACGAAGAGGACGAGGAGGACGATGACGGCGGTGATGATGACGACGACGACGACGACGATGATGAT